GGAATCTTTCAATCTGATGTAACAACGGAGTGTTAGACGAAGCCATACATCTCTGAGATGCTTTCCTAGGCAACACAACAGTTGAATGAGCACATTACACTGACCTAAGGTCAGGTATAAAGGTCACACCAAGGTCAAATCCAACCTGTTTTGTTACTCTAGGGTTTGCTGTATGGGATAGTTTCTGGTGCTCATCTCGAATTTTTTGATAGCAGGAACCGCATTATGCATCTCCCATGGTCTCTTAGAGGTCATAATAGGTCATTGAACTAAAATGACCCGGCCAACATTTTGTTTTAGGAACGTACTGCCTAGCGTTATCTTTGTCGCTTAGTCAAACGCAAAACGGAAGGCAATCTCGTATGATTTTGGTCACACTGACCTTCAAAAGGTCAAACAAAGTCACTGACCTTGAATGAGCATGTGACCTTTTGCTTAGAAACGGTTATCTAGGTTCTGAGGGCACTTTGGAGACCAACCTGGAACTTTACCTTGTTTGGCCTTTTTGACTTCAAAGGTCATGATCTAGGAAAAGCTGTAAAACAGAAATTACAGACCAACACCTCATCACAAACCGCGCTGAGAGCGTCATCAGCGCCCTTTCCGCGGCTCCGACCGGCGACGTCTCAGTCCTTGTCCCAATGTTGCTACATTACGGGATGACGATGACTGGTGTCATGGGGCGCGTCGGCTACTTCGGCCATTTTGCGCTCTCGAGACATAACGGGATTTTGCTATGTGCGAGGGGGCCGAAGCGGGCAGGGGCAAGCCTGCATGACGGATAAGCCTAATACTCCGTCCACAAAGCCTATGAACGTTCGCTGACGGTGGCCAATGATGAAACCACCTTATATCAGCGGACAAATTAGGCGCGAGTAATTATATAGCCTCTAACCTGACCTCCCCGAGACCCGAATGCAACAAAATCACATACCACTGACGATCCCGTTGCAAGTCGGTGGGCAGCCACGCCAGCGTCCTCGGAAATCAAAGGTTCTAGAAGTCCCCTAAATGCGACCTCCGGCCGGTGTTTTGAACCCTTCGGGCCCCAAAATGGGTCGTTAATCCTAGGTCCCGACGGGCACGAAAGACCCTTCGGAACCGTCCGCTTCAGTTCGAATCTGCGGCAAATAAAACGACCATAATGATGTCATCAAATAATGATTAATGTCAGACGCAATGCGAATTGACTGTGAAAGCGTTTCTAGTCAAGCTAGCTGTTCAGAGGCCATTCTCTTCTGAGAAGGTTCGACCTTTGTTCGGAACTGAATGGTGGAAGAGTTACATAGCATGGCTTTAATCACACGACCTCTCAAGCCAAAGAACAGAACACTTCCCGGAATCGACCCACTTTCCTCTCAACGCAATGGAATTGGATTTGCAACCAATTGAATAGGAAACTGCAGCACTTCTGAAATAAGTTCCCTCGTTCTGGCTCGGTGGACGATGTTGTGATTGGGCATTATTACCACTTTGTTTCGCATCGGTCGTCGGAACTAGCATTCGGTAATTGCCGCCGCGTCTGTGTTGTGTGGATTCAGGCGTCGTTGGGCGTGTATGGCTGTGACAGTGAAGGGAGTAAAAAAGTCTACACCCCTTGGGTAGCTGCGCAAGGCTTTTGAAAGTGGCCACGGCAACTTCAGACTGGATACAGGCTGCAACGCAGCACTCGAGTCATGCATGTTCGACACGGCTAGTGCTGTTGTTATGGCAATTGCCGGACGACTGCCGCCTTCAGTTAAGTCGGATGGTGTCGATCGTCAAGTTTTCGTAACTGTTCCAACGAATATTCGCCTACTATTGGAGTTCGGCACATTTTAATGGTTCTTTCGGGCATTACCGGCTAAAGATTTGCTCACGCTTTTGGGCTCCAACATTGGACCGCCTTGTGTTCAATTCCCAGTAAAACATCTTATCGCATGATGACAAAATTACACAGCTTGCTGCAGCCTGTGGACCTTAAAACAGCAATGAATGATGACAACACACGTAGAAAATAGCACAAAACTATGTTTGAGTCAATAAGACACATCAATCGTTTGATTAAAAGCATGCACTATACAGGAAAAAAAATCATCCAGAAAATACTAAGTAAACGCGGTGGAAAGGCGGAGCTTTTACATTGTGATCAGATCAGTCAGCTGCGGTCACCTGAACATGACATCGCAGTTTTCATTTTCTCTGTTCCGTTTACCTATGAAGCCATGAGCAGAGACCTTCTTTAAAACTGATTTAATTCTGATCTTCCATTTCTAATGCCCGCTTGTACTCTGGTTTCAGAAGGTGCGGGGGGGGGGGGGCAAGCCCGCTGTTGGGAGGAGGCTAAATGAGATATTGGATGGGGGCAGCGGCCCACCCAAAAGAATACAAATCGCCATCCGTGTAAGCAGGTTAACAGATGGGTTCCGACGAGAGCGCGCGGCAAGTGACAGATATTTTGAAGCGCCCTAGACCACTATAAAGGGCCCATGAGTATATCGTGAGTGTGTCGGTAGGTGAACCGAAACCAACGTAAAGGGCTCCGAGCAAGCGACAATACTCCAGCAGGTTAACATGAGGGGCTCCGGCTGTAGCATACAGAGCCTTTCTGGCGAATGGAAAGAATCCATGGAAGGCCCCTAATTAACAAGAGCACCCCGGCACGCTAGCAGGAAGAGCCCAGCAACAGCGCAGGGCCCTCCGAGCAAATGCGAAGAAATCAAGGGCGGCGCGGCGGGGGGGAGGTTTCACTTTCGCTTCACAGGGTTCCTTTACTTTTGCTTGCGACTGCTCTTGGGCTTGGTCGCCGGGAAGTTTAAAAACGTTCAATTATGTTGCGTTTAATGATAATAAAAAACTGCACTTGGTCGGCAGGCTATGGAGCCCCTTCGAAGCCTATGGGCTCCTTCGGGGCCCATGGCGCCATTGCCCTGTTCTCCCTCTGGATCCGCCCCGGATACAGTAGCTCAGGCAGGGGGCACAGCGGGCACGAGGCTCCCCTTGGGTTCTGAGCGGCCCTTTGGGTCCTGCAGAATCTACTATTAAGGCTCTGATTTGAGGGCCCGAAGGGCCCGAAAGGCCGGCCGGAGGTCCCATTCAGAGACCCCAGCCCGCAGGGCCAGGCACTCCAATGCCAGCCACATGGCCCTACGCGCTGACCAGGGGACCACTGAGTCGGAAAGAGCCTATATGTCGGTTAGACACCACCAGTAACGCACAGTCGGCTCCGTGGCGGTATGGGCCTAAGGGCCCTTTCCCAAGCAGGTACAAAGCCGAAGCCAGCGATTTACGTTGCTCGGGGCCCTTCAGTGCCTAACAGGGTCCTGTGTTGTCAAGGGGTCCCGAATTGGTCAGAAGCGGTGTTCGAGGAGGCTCGAGGAGCCTAGAGAGCCCACCGGATCCTACGATCGAGGGCGTGATTGGGGTCTAAGGGTATAAGGGGCTGGTCGGAGTCTTATTCAGGGCCCCCGACTGGCATAGACGGGCCCTCAAATAACGGGCAGAGGGCCCTTTGCGCCGATCGGGGAGCCCCTGAGTCGATATAGGCTTACATATCGGTCAGATGCCAAGGGCCCGTTGGGACGGCTGAAAGGTCCGAAGGGCTGGCTGCAGATGACATCGAGGACCCCGCCCATAGGGCCGTGATTTCAAATGTCAGCAAGATGATCTCTTGCACCGATAAGGACTCATGAGACAGAGCGTTCGTCTATTTCGGCCAGAGATCGTGAACAACGATCAGTCGGCTTCGTGTTGGCTTGAGCGCTGGGTGCCCATTTTTCCGCATTTTTTTGTAAAACCGAACGGCGTTGGCCACTGCACGTAACGCCAGGGGCGGGCGCCGAGCGGGTAACGATGGCCATCGTTAAACGATGTCTTTGAATGTCTTTCAAAATCAGCTTATACTGTTCAAAGAATGCACTGGGCAAATATTTTTAAACTACTTTGAGGTTGTTCTCAGAACATGTTAAAAGGTGCAGGAACACCGAAAATATGGATTTTACCTTTATTCTTGCATCTCCACCACCAGATTCCAGCAACCGCTTTGCGGCGCTGTAGAGATCAACGCGTTATTGTCATCTTTCTTAAAACTGCACGCGTGAAATGTACGCCCGGAATATCTCTAAATGTACGATTTGGTGTCTGAAGGCGTTGGAAGGTTCTTCTTTCAGATGTGTCTATTTTTGCCCACGCGTTGGACACAGCCCTTTGCAAGCCACGGGGCCGACACTACACGGCCTAAGGAGACTGCAACGCCTGTTGCAGGGTTTTTGCTTTTAGGATATGCGAGCCCGCATGGTCAAAACTATATTACATAATTTGTACCACTAATCATTTCTGACTGGATGGTGAACATATTCACACAAACATTGTCAAGTCATGTTGATACAGATCGTTGTCCCATTTTGATCTTTAATCAACACTCGTGAAAATTCTGACAGAGCCTCTTAGTTCTGTAGGCTTAAAAATAGCCCACTCTGAAATGAGGAACGCCGGCGATTTATTTCATGCAATCGTTTAACCCAGGTTTTTGTCAGTTTATTCATTATAAACTTAAGGCAGCATTGATCTCGCGGTAGCGTCTGACCTATATGTGTATTTGTGTGTATATAACGTGTAAATAAAAAAATATGTTTTTTATAATAAATTAGTCATATCCGGTGATTTTTAGGGTCCCTTTTACCATAGGCCCATTGTCGACTCTGTGCCCCCCCCCCCCCCCCCATTTGCCAAGGCTCTGGCTGCTCCCCTGTCTGGAAACCACAGTGAATCAAACTAAAAACGTTGACGGATTTAACTGCGCCAGCTGTTTGTTTGACTTAAAGTAATCCTTTCATTGGTAGTCTTGGAATCCCACAAAATTATGATTCAATCTCCATCAAGGGAAAATTCCATCGCGTGCAACTTGACGAACGTCATGTTTTATATTTTCCAACTGAGCACCATCCAACGATCGAACTCCCCCTCAGTTTGGTACTGAAAGTGGCGCCCAAAATACACTTTGCACGTTGCTGTAAAATGTGCTGGCAGGTCATCCGCCTACAATAGATGTGCCCATTGAATTCGCGTGAGCGTGGTGTGGGTAGGTGGGACATTGACTCATTTTAAACAACTGCGCGAGCGACGGTGAGAGGTAAGTAAACATACCGAGTGGACGATAAGGCTTTGACTGGACGTTTGCGAAGCTCGCAACCAAATCCAGGGGTGGCGCCAGAATGTTACCAGACACCTCAACTTACTCAGGCTTGGAAAGCTGAATCAGATGTCTTGGTTAAGAAAGGCTGGTCATATTTTGCTTCCTTTCATCTTGAGGATGTTCTAAAATAAAGTGGTCTTCATAGTCATTGCTTGGATTTTCTTTTAAGTTACAAGACTCAAAAATGTGCATGTAATAAATATCTGCTATAGTTGGCATGGGTGGTATTGAAGCACAATTTAGTGCACGTATGCTGTAATGTGGGTGCCCGGAGCTGGTTACACTTTCACCCTCAATTTTGGTGCAGAAGAGAGCCTTTGCTTGGGGGATTTGCTTGTCACACTTGTTATTCAAGTAGAGGTATTATTATACTGCCCAAGCAAAGCTTATTTGTAAGTTAAGTGTAGGTCAGCCTAACATGAGTTTCTCCACACAGACATGGAAGGTTCAGTTCATAGATTTCATTTAGTGACAGGGAAAGTGCATGATTTTTTATGTACCTGTCCATGATCCTATTTATTTCACAGATCCAATTGATCAGCACTTCACAGAGTCAAAGTTGTATTATTAATGATACTTCCCCAGTTGTAAACCTTATCAGCCTGAAAGTCTATAGTGACCTTATGTGATATTCACTGTGGGCACAAAAACCAAGAATGACATGCACCTCACTGTATTCTTTATTTCTTCTGTTACTTAGTTGATCTGCTGTTGATCTTATGTCATGTCATTTAAATTAGTCCCCTTTGATTTTCACAGTTAACTCAATAGCATATGTTGTCCTCTTCAATATGAGCGCAAAACCAGGGACTGGCACCATTGTCATAAGTAGGGCTTCACAATGCGCTCAGGTGCTAAAACTATATGGTGTTGCCCGTCCCCTACCCTGGCAGCAAGCGTGCATGCAGCAGGGAACGAAACCAAGTGCCTCTGGTTTCCCAGGCATGCAGTGGCTGATGCAGATGTAGTCAATGCTGACACCTTAACCACTACACCCCACCCTACACCCCACCACACTCAACCAACCACCCTGCCTGAGACTGGCAAGAACTAATGCTAGACCCATGCAATTTAATGCAATTCATATTTGAACCAAAATGCATCAACAGAAAACAACAGTAGCTGAAAATGCAATACAAAGCTATTTTTTTAGTGGCTGATGCTTTACCTTGTAAGCAAAAAAGCTAATATCATTGATTCACTAATGACCACATCCTGATTTGTGATTCAAATACAGTGTAGTCACATTCTATGATTAGAAAAATTGGTATGCTTATGATTATATGAAAATTTGTGAGAACACAATGGAGCGATGTTTTTGTTGTCTTAATACATGTAGTAATGCCAGATATTTAGGTTAGGTCTGTCTGCCTCTGCGCATTGATCAGTTAGAGCAGGGTGCCTTCCTTGAACCCACTGACCTATGACAGGGTAGGTGGGTTTGAGTCACTTTGGCACTCCCTTATTTGGCTCTGGCTGGGCTGGTCTTCTGCTGCTGCTCACTGAAATAGAATTTCACTGTTGGCATTGGTCAGGGTGCACACAACAAACACTGCTTAGTGTGAGCTCTGGTCCCAGAAATTCATCCAGTTTAGGCATTCTGACTCACTTACTTTACAAAAAAGTGCTCACCAGCCTGGGGATTTGTTACATGTATGGTGGCTTGGAAGACCATGAATTTTGTGCAGCTGATATCAATTGATCCTCAGGGCATCTCTTGATGTGATCATGATCGATTGTTTATGCTCGGTGTGCTCTGTTTGCTCACTGCTTGCCTAAAGTAGTATACCTTGAATCTATTGATGCTGTTCCTCCTGCTGCTTTGAGGCCAAGCAGTAGTGGTTTTAGAGCATCATACATCAGCTGTGATTGGGGTATTTCACCCAGCTATGGTCACTTGCCACTGCTGGTTTTGCATATCCCCACATGTTCTACAGCATCTGTCCCATCAACCATGGGTAAGCTGTTTTGTTAAAATGATTTGATGAACCCATCTACATGTGTGTAATCTGTAAGTCTGTCATGTTTCTAGAATGACATCAAGGTCTAAACAGTTTAATTCACCTCAACATCGCAGCACACCCCACCATGGCCAAACAAGTGGCTTGTGTGTCTGTGCCACGCTGAAAACGTGCCGTGTCCCCGCAGGTGGAGCGAGCTGGTCCTGTCCTGATCCTCGGGTCACAACATGGGCCGACTGGATGTTGGCACGCTGCGGTACATGGCGAAGGAGGACTTCCGTGTGCTCCAGGGCGTCGAGGCCGGCATGCGGAACCACGAGCTCGTCTCCACCCCACTGGCCTGCTCTCTGGCTAACCTGCGCGCCGGCGGTGCGCAGAAGATCATCCGCCAGCTGCAGAACAACAAGCTGCTGGCGTACGAGCGCGGCCGCCGCTACGACGGCCACCGGCTGACCGTCAGCGGCTACGACTTCCTGGCGCTGCATAACATGGTGAACGGGGCCTGGCTGGACGGCTTCGGCAACCAGATCGGCACTGGCAAGGAGTCGGACGTGTACGCGGTGTACGACAACCACGGCGAGGCGCTGGCGCTCAAGTTCCACCGGCTCGGCCGCACATCCTTCCGCAAGCTGAAGCTGCTGCGCGACTACCACAAGAACCGCTCGCACATGTCGTGGCTCTACCTGTCGTCGCTTTCGGCCAAGAAGGAGTTCTCGTACATGAAGGCGCTGCACGAGCGTGGCTTCCCGGTGCCGCGGCCTGTCCACCACAACCGTCACGCGGTGCTCATGTCGATCGTGGAGGGCGCGCCGCTGTGTGAGCTGCGCGAGCTCGAGAACCCGCAGCGGCTGTACGCTGAGTGTATGGAGCTGATGATTCGACTGGCCGAGTGCGGCGTCATCCACTGCGACTTCAACGAGTTCAACCTGATGGTGACGGACGAGGAGCGCCTGGTGCTGATCGACTTCCCTCAGATGGTGTCCACGTCACACCCAAACGCTGAGCAGCTGTTCCAGCGCGACGTCGACTGCTTGCGCCGCTTCTTCAGTAGGCGCTTCCACTTCGAGAGCGACGAGTTCCCCGTGTTCGCCGAGGTGGTGCGCACCGATGACCTCGACGCGGAGATCCGGGCCAGCGGCTACAGCCACGAGTTCGATGAGTTCGACGGTATCATCGGCGTGGGCGACGCTGGCGAGGGGAGTGACGCCGAGTTGGCGGAGAGGCGCGATGCGAGCGACGGACCAGAGGGTAGCGAGGACGAGGACCGCTTTGAGGACGCCAGTGACACGCCGCACGGTGAGGAGGGCGTGACCGAGCAGCCCGATACGCCCGCGTCATTTCCTATTGACAGTTCGGCGCGGGTGGCTCTGTCTCGCTCCCCGCACGAAGGGGACACGCCTGGAGAGGGTGAGGACACGGCCGTCGCCGTAGAGAACACGCCCACCGGCGAGGACTCGTCCGGTGAGGAGGACCCGCCGGACGGTACCTCCAGCGGCGGCGAGGATGAGGAGGCGGCGGCCGCGCAACGGCGCCAGCTGCGCCGGCTGAAGCAGCAGCGGCTGGAGCAGCAGCGGCTTGAGGCTCGCAGTCAGCTGAGCGAGGCGATCGCCCGCTCCGCCAGCCAGCGTAGCCGCAGCACGGCCGCCTCGACGATCGCGCCCGAGCTGCTGCAGCGGCGGCTGGAGCGCGAGCTGCGCCGCGGCCGCCGGCGCCAGGCTGAGCGGCTGCGCGCCAAGGGCGACGCCAGCGCCGTGACGCGCTCGCGCCGCGACAACGCGCAGACGATCCGGGAGAGCAGCTCCGGCTTCTGGGCCGACTGACGGATTTACAACTGTTCGGACGGACTGACTATGCGGAGGGGCGGACTGAGTGGGGGACGTCGGCTCGAGTGGGCTAAGGTCGCTGTGAACACGTGGGCCGTAGCCGGTGCTGGTGATTCCCGCCGCTGCCACAGTTCGTATTGCTTGCCCCAGCCGGATCACGAGGTTGGTCGCATGTGCGGTGACTTGTTATGAAGCATGCCGAGTAGCATATATCTGCAGGGTGAGAGGTGTGTGGGTAGTCGAGTACGGAAAATCATGCTCAGAGGCGCGTAGGTGCGATAGAAACTCGGCGTTGGTTGACCGCAGGACGTTCAGAAGGCACGGGATTCCCTCATTGCGTGTCGCTATTCGTGGCTCGTCTCAACCTCACTCGGAAGTTCAGGCCCCGGCTATTCATGCCAAACGTGGGTAACCGACGGAGTCGAGCGGTACGAGGGAAATGCTACTGGGGCCGAACTTGCGAACTATGGCGTTCGGAGACGGGCCGTCTAAGAGCGTCTAAAACGTGCGACTCGGCACACAGCAGGGACGCAGCGAGTAGGAGAGTGGGGCGTTGACCGTTGCTGGTGCTCAGGAGCGATGGAGATGGAGTATTGGGAGAATGGCCACGAAGCCGTAGGCGCGGACGAGTCTGCCCATGTCGCATTGGTGTGCGTGGGCGGCCCGCCACCCCGCCTTTGAAGCATCGGCAGATGCTTCAAAGGTCGGTGGCAGCAGTGATTCTGCTGGTTCCGTCCATTTGCTAATGTTCCGTTTCATTGTAGGCTAGTTCTATAGGTAATTCGGTGACAATGGCACAGCTGAACAGTGAACTGTCACGGAAGGTGGCGGTTGTCCCTATCGGAAGACGACTCCGCCCCTGTTGCGCTGTAAGCACGAGATCCGAGCGTCACACACCATCTCCCAAGTAATGTAAATATATATTAAACGTTTAATAACTTGCCCGAGTGCAATTTGGCACCGAATATGCTCGGTCGGAAGATGAAAATACATTCAACACACGCTCCATGATACAGGATTCCATCTTAACACAATAATACAAACCAGCCACGCGCAGTATGTTACGCACAGTGCAGCGAGACGTAGAGTTCACGTGCAGCAAGTGGTCGCGCCGCGCTCCCGGCGAACGGCACGACACACCGTCAACACGCGATCGTAAATGCAGAATCCGTCTGGAAAACGCCGGGCGACGCTGCCTGCCGCCACCGCGTGGAACAGAAGGAAGCGCGGAGAGGCGGCGGCGGCGTGCGGAGCCCCGGCAGCCCGCCGGCTGGCCCCTGGTTTGTACACGCCGACTGGCGGACACGGCCTGATATGGTGCGCGCCCGCCCCGGCGTGGAATCAGAGCCGGGGACGGGGCGGGCCTAGTTGAGCATCAGCCTGGCGCAAGAGCGGACAACACATCGCGCACAGCGTTATTGCTAGCGCCTCGGCAGCGAGCCAATCAACAACGAGCACGATCACACCCACGCGCCGGCGCGGCCGACGCCACGCGCACACCAAAATGATTATCAAAGCGAGTAACTCACGACTAGTCTGCTGGTCAAAGGTCACGGCCTCTAAAAACGCAGCCGCTCGGGGAAGCGATCCGGCATCCTCCGGGCTGCCCGGAGCCAGCGTAAACAACGAACCGTTGACGACAGGGGGGCCGCGCGCCCACACCACACCGAAGTCAGACGTCAATAAACGGTCAGCTGCCGGCCGCAGCAGCGGCGCCAGCGCCGCGCGCCGAAGGAAGACAATATGGCGGACAGATATGAGTGGGCAGGCCGGGCCGGCCGAGTGATATGTTGCGGGGGGGCGGGGGCTCGGGAGCGGTCGCTCACGTGAGCCCCAGTCGCTCCACCTTGGCCGACAGGCAGGTGTGCAGCGCGAACACGAACGGCTTCGGCGACGAGCCGAACTCCACCTCCTGCGGCGGACAGGCGCGTCACACTGTGCCCTGGCCGCCGCCCGGCGCAGTGCACGGTATGGCATGGGCAATAGCATTGCCTGCATGTCGGCAAAGCAAAGCGCATCGATTGCCTGACCAGCACCAACGCGGAAGGTGCAATATGGTGACCCACGCCGTCGCTGCTGATAATATTTGAGCTTTATGGGCGCTTCAACCACCGTAAACGGCCTCAAAATTGCGCTTTCAAACGGTCACAATGCTGTAAATTGTTGCTAACTGCGCAGACGCCCAATTCTGGTGAGGATTCCCACTATTGAAAGATCAGGGCCCCATGGAATTAAGAATGAGAAGCCTCACCAAACTGCCCCTATCTTAAAACGAAACAGACACAAGTGGCCCGAAGTAATTGGAACAGACTGAAGACCGCATGAAAATGTACATATAAGCGGCATATAATATAAATATATAAGCAAATATAAGCGGTCATGCAAGTTTCTATTGCCATGCTGGGGCATTGGATCCTGGAAATCTTACAACTGGAAAGCTTTACCAATAAAGGTCAAGAGATAAGGGCCTGAACCAGGCAACCATTTCCACTTCCTTTGAATGCGTAATTCCATTTTTGCCTGACTGCGTGTTCTGTGACAACGGAGCGTAATATCACGCCAGCGCCCGCCTTTCCCCTTCCCCCTCCCCCCCCCGTTCCACCCTCCCCTCCCCTCGGCTACATACCATGACCTCATTCTTGCCGAAATTGAGCAGGACGGTGGAGCGGTTGTCGTCGCTAGAGTCGACCAGCTTGTCGAAGCTGTAGTGCCAGAGGGCGGCGGCAGCGCCGGCCGGGTCGGCCGCTGGCCGCAGCGTCAGCCCGTCCTCGAACTGCATCGTGAGGCGTGCGTCTTGGCCCTTCCACCGACAGTCTGTGTACCAGGACAGGACCGCGTCAGCACTGCATTGTGAGACGCGCGTCTTGGCCCTTCCACCGACAGTCTGCGTACCAGGACAGGACCGCGTCAGCACACCGGCAAACTGAGCACGGCCACCGAACTCTCCGACACACCGGATATCTGGCACTGACAAGCACACATCCCTCCCGTGAGGTGCGTGGTTCACCTGCCTGCCTCTTTTTCTGTACCTTTACCCAGGAACTGGTAACCAGGAGTGTTCCTCCCTCTATCTCAGCGACGCAGTAAACCGCGCGTTGACACCAGAAAACGTAAAATCAGGTCGCGGCACCCCCAGCTAGGAAGACGAAACAAACATAAGAAGCAGGCGAAGAGGTGGTGCAGACCCGGCAGGAATTATGCTACGCAATAGGCAAGGACAAATCATACACGAGAAGGCCAAAGTCATGGCCAAAGTCAGCACATGACAGCCCGCTATAACCACCCAATAAGCTGCAGCCACTCATTCAGTGTTAGTAAAGGTTGTACAGTCACACAGCCTTTGACGAGAAAACCGATGGTATTTTGGCTCACTTTCCAATGGTCGAAACAGGCACACAAATATGCTACTAGTCAAAGGAAAAATGCCAATACGCCAATGGAAAAAACGATGTCGCACTGCAGCAAAGATCCTCACACACGCTCATTACGCCACCTGGCTCTGCGACTCCAGACAGTACATCAAGACCTCGGGGAGCCCTCCCCCCCCCCCCCCCCCATAGCCCCTCCATCCCCCCCTTCCAACAGCGGACGAGCGGAGACCGCTGTCGGACAAAGCCATGTCTGGTAAAAATACTGTCAGCCAAACACCCCCAGATGCCAGAAGCCTCTGTGGCGCTACACTGCCGTCTCGAAGAGAGGACAGCACGTGCCGCGTCCGTCACTTCGACACCCATTCCCAAGGGCGAGACGCAGCGGGCGCACCTACCGCGAACCTCGCCCTGAGAACGGCATCACGGCAAGTGGCGGCCTGTTCCTAAAGCACTGAACAGCTTTGAAATCCTGTGCCACAGAACGTTCCGCGTTTCCTAAACCATTCAACACACGCTGGGACCCCGAATCGCAGCGTTCCGCCCACTGCCCAGCTCCCGTCACGCCCGGTAGCGGCGACGGCGGCAGCGTCTCACCGAACTGGATCTGCTGCAGGTCGGCGACGGCCGCGTGCGTGGCCTGCACGACGGTGCGGCTCCAGCTGGCCAGATCGCGCGGCGTCTCCACGCGCCACTGCACGCTGGTCACGCCGTGGCGCGTGCCGGTGCGCGTCGTGAACGTGATGGGCTCGGCTGGCGAGGGCGGCGCGTCGCCCGGCGTCAGCCGGTAGCGCACGAACCTGCCGACGCCGCCGCGCGCGTCACGCGTCATGCGTCACCGTGTCACGGCCGGGCGGCTGAGCACGTGCCAGCGCCGCTCCAGCGACGCCCACGTGCCAATGATTCTTTGCTCCGGTGACACAGATCAGACACTCAACAAATCTCGTTCAGTGTTTCTGCTGTTCTAGCTGACAGGCGGTGGCGCGTCTCACTCGTGACCGCAAGCCACGGGTCTCCGGGGGCTGGCAACCGCCGGCGACCTCGGGCGACCGCACGCCGTCTCACCGGGTCATGATGAGCGGGTAGGCGGCCTGCGGCGCCGCCCACGCCTCCAGCGTCCACGGCACCTTGGCGAACATGAGCACCTCTCGCTCGGTGACGGCGGCGAACCGCTGCTCCCACGGCCGATTGTCGAGCGACTGGTCCTGCCGGGGCACGCGGCCGTCGACGGTGAGCCGGGTCACGGCCGCTGGCCGCGTCCCTCTCAGCACACGCCACGGCGCGACAACACGGACGGCGAACGGCTGCCAGACACAGCACTCAGACACCATGTCATGTCGTTGGGGCTTTACGACGCACTCAGCTGCTGAGGCTATATGACGTCGCCTGCCTCTCACCCTGGCAGGAAGGGCGGGCACCGCGGGGAATCGAACCCCGTACCTCTGGTTTCCCAGACGCGCAGTGGTTAACGCATACGCGCTAACCACTACACTACCGGCACCCGCACGCAGACATCAAGCGCCGCTTTGGGTATGAGCGTACGCACACCTTAAGGGTTAGTGGGGTTCAATCAGCATTGGTGTTGTCTTTTCCGGTCACAACAGACACATTCTTCCCCAAACTAACTCACGTTCGGAGTCAGACCCCACCGAGCCCTGCGGTTGTCGCAGCCACAGCTTAAGCAAGCCATCGCACGTCGTGAACAGCGGCCGCGACAGGCAGACACACCGCGCTGACGGCGAGAAGCCATCGAGCACGGTCGCGGGCCGGCGCCTACCTGCTCGGTGAAGCGGACGCAGACCCAGCCCATGTGCAGCACGCCGCTGCCGTCCAGGATGTCACGCACGCGCTCGTTGGTCGTCTCCATCGCCTGGGAACGCAGGCGGACGGGACGGTCGGGACCGGACGCGGAGCACCCGGGCCTGCACGACCGGCGCGGGAATGCGGCGACTTGACGCGGTCTCTCCCATGCGTGTCTGATCATAAGCCGGCACAAGCCGTGTGACTGCAGGCAAGCTCGCCGACCGTGACCCCCGGTGCTCCAGTGGCAGGGCGCCGTCCTGCCACCACGTGAGGTGACTAGTTCGGGGCATCCAGCTTCAGCACAGCACGAGATCGCGAGGTGGGAGGCTGCTGGCGGGCACCATCCAGCTTCGGCACAGCACGAGATCGCGAGGTGGGAGGCCGCTGGCGGGCACGTGGCGAGCCGTGCTCCTCCAGCCGCCACAAGTGGGGTTCCAGCTGACAGGTTGGCGAGCATCTAACACGGCTACGGATCACCACTGGGAACACAAACCAACTCAGACCCTGAGCACCTGACAGAGCATTCACCATGACGGGCCACACCGCTCACCCCCTGTCAGCCTGCCGACAGGGAGTCGCCCACATCCCCCCACACCGAGCACACGCACGGAAGCGACGCTGCCGCTCCTGAGTATCCGTGCCGAGCGCCGCTCCGAAGCACCGGCCCCACCTGCCGCGCGAGGGCGCTGAGCGACGAGTGGAGCGTGTTGAACCAGCAGGTGGCCTGGCCGGCGTCCTGGAAGCGCAGGATGCACGAGTGCAGCAGGTCCTGCGAGTGAATCTCGAAACTGTTCGGCTCTGTGGAGATAGAGAGGAGGACGGCGTGGCTCAGTCTGCCCTGGTGTTGTCGAACAGTGATCAGTTACCTGGCTTCTCAGGTCAAGCTCGGCGACACAATTCACGATTCAACCCAATAAACAAAGACCAAACGCTTACTGAAGTCGACGAGAGAAAACTCAGTGGCAAAACAGACTCGACAGCATTCCTGGCCGGTTAAAACTCGGCAATTCAGCTTGCACTTGATCGTTACCATCGACGAAGCCCGAACAATCACATCATCATCGGCGCTCCCGACGCTCGCAACCTCCCACCTGAGACACCTCTTCCAGCGCGCACCAGGCGGCGCCGCCAGCCGGCCGCTCGTCGCGTCCGCGCGCGCGCGCCGCGCGGGCAGCTCACCCTGACAGCGGATGTTGCGGCCCAGCTGGCACAGCTGGAGCCGCACCAGCTTGGTGTCCGGGCTGCGCTCGGCTGGTCGCTCAGCCGGCGAGCCAGCGCCCTCGGCCAGGTACTCGCGCTCCACGTCCCAGCCCAGCTGCCCGGTCAGCGTCGCCTTGCGGAAGTAGCGCTTCACCTCGCGCAGGTACTTGACTGAAACGTAGAACGACGGGACGACTGGAGGGGGCGGGCCGACAGAGCAGACAGAGGCGGATCCAGGAGCGCAGAAAAGGGAGGATGGGAAGGGGAGGGCGCAAGCTCAAACCGGGCCGTGCGGGCGCGGCCGCTGTCGGGGGTCCGCCGGCCGGCCCGGCGACGGCCGGCCGGGACCGGCCGACAGCGGCGGGCCGCTCCTGGCCGGTCCCGACGGCCGAGACACGCGCATGCCAGCTAACCACGACAGGCCAACCGAGGAGCATACAGCCAGGCCAGCCATCAGGCAAGCAAGCAGCCAGGCCACAGACCGGTCGGAGCGCCGCAACGCAAACAGCGAGCGACTGGGCAGTCACCGACCCACTGCAAAACCCCCAAATCAAACCAATGATGCAACCAAATAATCAGGCAATTGAGGCTAGTCACAAGCACTTGCTGCCAAGTCAAATATGCAGATAACTCACTCCACGTGTCATTGGGAGCGTACACACACCCCGCGTCCCGTCGCATGCAAAATAAAACACAGCGGAGCAACATGTCAAACGTCCACTTTCAAAAATCATTATCAGAGGCACCAGCAAGAAACCGACATCAGAAGAGAAAAATGGGACAGCGGGCCCGGGAAAAGCTCACTGCGGAGGAGCACAAAACAACTCAAAACACGAGACAACATTTTCAAACATTACAAATGAAAGCCCGAGTGAGACTGGGACGAGGTGGGCGGAGGCGAGAGACGCCGGGCGCCGGGCGCGTCCTCTCCGAAGCTCAGGAGCACACCGGCCGACGGCCGGCCGAGCCGTACCTTCCAGCACCACCCGCTTGCCCGAGCGCTTGAGGGTCTGAACGGCGGCGTCGTGCGTCGCCTCGCGCAGGTCCTCGCCGTTCACGAACAGGATGGCGTCGCCCACGTACAGCTGCTCCGTCTGGTCGGCCGCCATGCCCTGACGGCGGCGGGGAGGTCAGCAACCGGCCTTGATAGTCGGGCATCCGGCGTCCGCCGGCCCCGACGGCCCAGCGTCCGCCGGCCCCGACGGCCCAGCGTCCGCCCGCCCCGACGGCCCAGCGTCCGCCGCCCCGACGGCCCAGGGTCCGCCGCCCCGACGGCCCAGGGTCCGCCGGCCCCGACGGCCCAGGGTCCGCCAGCCCCGACGGCCCAGGGTCCGCCAGCCCCGACGGCCAAGGGTCCGCCGGCCCCGATGGCCCAGGGTCCGCCAGTCCCGACGGCCCAGCGTCCGCCAGCCCCGACGGCCCAGGGTCCGCCGGCCCCGACGGCCCAGGGTCCGCCGGCCCCGACGGTCCAGCGTCCGCCGGCCTCGACGGCCCAGGGTCCGCCGGCCCCGACGGCCCAGCGTCCGCCAGCCCCGACGGCCCAGGGTCCGCCGGCCCCGACGGCCCAGGGTCCGCCGGCCCCGACGGTCCAGCGTCCGCCGGCCCCGACGGCCCAGCGTCCGCCGGCTCCGACGGCCCAGCGTCCGCCGGCCCCGACGGCCCAGCGTCCGCCGGCTCCGACGGCCCAGCGTCCGCCGGCTCCGACGGCCCAGGGTCCGCCGGCCCCCCGACGGCCCAGTGTCAGCCGGGCCCCGCAGCCCGGCATCGGTTCGTCTTGGTACAACAGCCTGCCGTGTCAGGTGACCACAAGGCGCCGTCGTCACTGGGGCTTCACAACGCACTCAGCTCCTGAGGCTGGACGGCGGCGCCTGCCTCTCACCCTCCGATCGCACAGCGTCATGCCTCCCGTTCAACAGCAAACTCAAAGCGGGACAAATGCAAACTATTGCGCGGTAAGCACGGCACCAGCAGCCGTCACGCCGCATTAAGACTTTAAGCCCCCTCTGACTTCCAAAGACACGCTGACACGGCGATCAGCACCACCGTGCCGAGCAAACGCATCATAGCCTCAGCGCTCGCGTCGTTGCGACCCACCTTGAATATTTTGGAGATGAGTATGGGCATCTTGTTCTCCTTGCCGCCCTTGATGGAGATGCCCAGTCCGCTGTTCTCCTGCTTATTGACGACGACCGTGCGCTTGTGGTTGGCCACGGCGTCGGGCACGTCGTCGGTGGGCGAGCTGTCGTTGTTGTTCACCGAGTTGTCGTGCACGTCGTCCAGCGTGAGGCTCAGGTAGTCGCCCTCCAGACAGGCGTTGGCGCCATACCACTGGTCCTGGATCAGCACCTGGCGACGCCGGGCCGACACGGCGCGCGTGCGTGAGCGGGGCACCGGGCTGCCATCCTGACGCGGGAACAGGATGAGGGAAGGACGCCGGTGCACTTATGTCGGTCACTAGCTGGCAGGGACAGCGTCTGTGCGTCGCAGCGCGCTGCTCTCGCGTCTCATCTGCCAGTCCTGGTCGGGGATGCGTCCCTGGCGGCAGCCGTTCTGCAGCTGCGACCGTGTGATGTCGGTGATTCTGATGAGGTCTTCACCGTACTCACTCCCCGGCCGGGCTATTCGGCATGTACGCGCTTTTGCGCGCAATCCAATTTCCAGGCGATAATCTTGATACCTAACTAGTCAATTAGCCAGACTTCTGCTCCGCATTCGATGGTCCGTGACCAACGTGACTAAGGTGAGTTAATAAGACTAGTGGGTGCTGTGTGCTGCGACAATGTCACACTGGTGAGAGGGTCGTTCCTATGAGATTGGAGAGCACAGTTGTTCCCAAAGACGAGGCCTTGCTCAGATCATGTGTCAAAATCATACAATCTTGAAACAGGCTGTCATAGTCACTGTCACTACTGTTCTCAATGCTAGGTTTGGCACTCTGTCTTCTATACTGTTGGTATGTGAAGAATTATGTGCCCCAAGGACACCAGGGCGGCGCTTTTTGCGGAGTGAGATGGGTGAGGTGATACAAACGTGGCTGTTACCATCATGCAGATGATGCACTAACATAAGTGAATGCGGCCCGTCGCCTTTACGCATTTTCGCCACATGTAAAGGAGTTATGCATTGGAATACTCCCTTGTCATGAGTTTGGCAGGCGGAGATACACACAAAGATGTCTGCGCACTAGATATCAACCTGTATTTGAGTGTTCTAAAAACATCACAGCACAACAAGCTTGCTTCCATGGTGTGCTTGCACGGTGTGTAATTTTCCGCATTTTGCACGCCTTTTGATGTATTGAGAGCTGCCGTTTGATCGAAAAAGAGACTGAACTCTTGCCCTTCCATGCGGAACGGCCGCTGAACGTTAACCCATCCATCTGTCTCTGAGCAGATGGGAGCGGAGCACTGAGACTTTGTCTCAACGGGATGTGCCGATGTGTAATGAAGGCTAAGTGATGGAAGCATCGTTTGGCCATTACGACGCCAAGGTTTGCAATTATGCCGCTTTTAGAACACACCTGCATAAGACGCGTCGAAAAAGCCGCGAAAGTTATCTTCAATGCGCTGTGTTGCCAGGATCGCCTATCTGAGCACACGCATGTGGGTGGGTCGCGTTCGCGTACTCTATGCACCATCATTTGACCGTCCACCTGTAGCGAGAGGGCGTGGGCTACCACGCGGAGTCTTTTCCCTTGTGTTAGTTTGCTAAGAAGGTATATTTTATGTGAGAGTGGGCGCTGTATGAGCATGGCGCTGCCGGCATGCCACCCATCGCTTTAAGGCAAAACATTCAACGCGTTTCGTTTACAAAACATGGATATGGTACTCACGTTCAACGCTTCGAAAATCTTTCAAACATGTGCCCATGCCTGGGAATCCCGAACGCCAGCAACGCCAGAAAGACGCAATAAAAGACAGACTGCAAAATCGTATCGATTTGATTGCCTGCAGCGGCGTATGCAGAATTTCACAATGAAGGGGGAGGGCGCAGTTCAAAAATGCTCACTAAAAACCGTTAAGCGCGCCAGGGATGCGAAATGTTTTGCAAGCAGCAAAACAACACCACATATTCTCGATCTAGTTAGTTTTAGGTTTCTAGCTAAGCGTGATTGTTAGCATTTAGTAGCACACATCAAAACACGCCATGTGTTTGCTAATGGGGTAGGGGGAATGTGTCCGGGGAGCCACCATGTACATAGGCCCCCGAGTGCCCGTGTTTGTACATGTCAGGTCGCTCTTGCCCAGGTAAATGAGACAGATTTATAGCTTTGAGCCATGTTAAATAGTTCTGTAAAGTGTCAGCAGTCAGATTAGATGTGGTGACAACATTGGTTACCCACTGTGGTTGTTTGATTCCACTGCAAACCGAGACAAAGTTCAATTCTGCTCTACCTATAGGAGTGCCAGTAACTGGGTGTGATGACGCAATGTTCTGTCCAGAAGGGATGCAGCTGGAGCCCCAGGTGAGCAATGCTGCGGGGTGAACACATTTGTGTGGCGAAAATGCTGCTGATTAATGCACCCTACAAAGTGCCTCAAAATCTGGCCAACATGTACAAGAAAAGGCAATGACTTAAACTGTTGCCTTACATCTCTCTGTGCCCTCATGGAGAAGTACATGCTATCACATAACACACTGGAGATAAAATGTATGATGCAGTGATGCTTTTTGGCACACTGATATTGTAGATAAAAGAACATTACATAGAAATCTAACTGGATGCTTTGGCATTGTCCAGAAAGTTTGGTTTGCTATCCAGGGGTGAAAGTCTAATGAAATCCATTTCCTAGTGGTTCCCCAGTACTGATCAGGGGTCACAACTTTGATCCCTGATCCCACAACTTGTGATTCACACATGATCAACAGCTGAGGAGGAATGAAAGCATGTGGCAGTTAATGGCTAGCACAGTCAACATACTGTGATGCATTAATGATTTGGCCCACAATCAGATATTATCATGATCCTCTCAGAATACACATCAACATAAACAATACATTGACTATCATTTGTTGCTTGTTTCCTCACCTCCAAAGAACTGTAGGGCTGGTATGATATTTTTGAGTTCAGTGTATCACTCCTGTTCATTGATGATATGGTATCTGACTTATTGATGCCCTCCATTTTCTGATGGCCGTTTGGTTCCATGGAAGCAGATTCTGCAACAGATGCAACAGCAAATCAGATGCAGACAACAGATGACTGACAAATGATGCAGTTCAAGCAGTAAATCATAACAGAGCAGATAATCAACTGATCAACCATACCTTTTCATCCAATCCTGAGCAGCACGTTGATGGAATTAACATAACATGTGAGTGATATGGTGATGGCAATGGTATGGTGATGTTGGTGGTGATTCCCAATCGCCATAAGGTAAGGTAAGGAGTGATAAATACTTATCCATTCCTCTTGTGTAAACTAGGAATGTTCAACTAAAATGCACCAAATCTGGCACACTGGCACAAATATATGACTAAGATTGTGCTTTGCCAGTAGCTGCCTAATAAATTACTTCATTTGATTTACAAAGAGCACCCAAGGTAATCAGGTTTATTTTAAAACATACCTTGTGTGACATTTTGGTTGTTAATTCAAGCAATGTATGAGCCTGAACTGTGATTATAATATTGTTTTGGCAAAGCATTATGCTGTTCATGTTCCTGAAGTAAAAAACTGACTTCACAGTGAGAACTAGGTATTTATACTCAGGCTCCGGCAGACCTATGGCTGCTGTGTTGCTAATCGCTGATATAGGGAAAACGGACCCACCCACCCCACCAACCGGCACAGACAACAGGCGTGACATCAAATAAAAAATACAAATCGCTTTCAAACCACACTAACGACCAACTCACCTAACCGCCCACCCAACTATTCCGACACAGCGCACTCCATGGCAAATCGAGTGCGAACACCCAATCAAATATGGATAAAAAACATATAATGAAACCAGCTGCGATTCTAGCGCAGGTCTGTCAAAATGTATCAGCTGACTGTTAGTGCGTTACTAAAACACTGTAAAGTAAGAGTTTCACCAATCTGCAAGTGGTAAGCTGTGGTTGGCCACTCATGTGTCCTGCTGAGAGAAACAAACGTCTCTTGAATCATAAAGTGTAAAAAAATATTTTTGAAGTTATTTTTTGGAATTCCATTCATGTAGTGCCAGCATAAATCATTTTGGTGTGCGACCTCTCAGTTTCACTGATATGCCGAATTATAATGAGGACACCTTAATAACTTGACCTCGAGACGAGAAGCGCCAGAAATTTGGAGCCAGACACAACTGCAAAAGCGTGGAGTTCCTTTTTGAGTCGGCGTGAGGTTGCGGGCCGTAGGTGCAAGGGGGATATCAACAGCAGTTCCGGAGGCGGCAATCGCCGAATAGGTATCTACATATCTATCTTTCTTTTAGGGAGCTATTTACCGATCCGTTGTGTCGGCAAGGCTGCTTTCACTACAAGGAAGTGGTTCACCGCTTTCTAATTGACTCATTGGAGTTTATGCATCGGGAGAGGTCTAGGTACCTGTCGGCATGAAAAGGGATCCAAGAATAAAACCCCAGAAATTCTGTTTGGAAATTCAGCTTAATGCTCTCATTCTTGGTTAAAAGCTTGTTACCTCAATTCATGATAATGTGTCATGATTGCAGTCTTCTCAATTTTCCTGGATAAAATCCCACTTGAAACATGTACAATCATGTGTATTGTAATATGTATGAATTTGGTGTATCAAACATGTAAGAATTATATGTCATGCTGTCTGCAGTTAGTGTTAAGTCAATAATGCATTATGTTAGTACATTAGCTAGCAGTCTGGGTTTGGCAAGCATCAGGAGATGGGGTCTTGTTTGGAATGCATCAGGAGTTGGTAATTTCAGTGCCAGCAGGTTGTTGGTGAGGGATGCCTCCCTAAGCAGTGGCTGCCTACTTGATATGTGGGTAGCAATGACAGATCCAAGATATGTGTGTCAAACTTGGGAAGGTTCTGGCCCAGTAGTTGAAGTTTGAAAGATATGCTGATTTTCAAAAACTTGTCCAATTCTGGATAATTCTTAGTGGAAGGCATGTTCAGTAACATGCAAACATTAGCCTAGAGTCTTCTGAAGTTCCTTAAAAGTCTAGGGATGTGTTGTTTCTGCCCAAATCTGGCCATCTTGGGAGTTTGCTGATGGGCTACCCTCACCTCCCCCCCCCCCTTCCCTCTCCTGAAGACACTGGTAGTGGGAAGGTCTGTTATTGGTCCTATGGCATTGCATTGAGAAAAATAGGTCAAAGTTATGTAACTCTCTAGCTAAAATAGGACCCTGCTCATTACAGTGCCAGTGTCAACACCTGTCTCTCCACTGGCTTTTAGAACAGTGTCTGCTCTGTGGGTGTTGAATGGTGCAAGGATCAAGTTTATTATGTTACTTTAACATATTAATAGGTGGAGATTGTGCCACTTTTGGTTGTGTGATCAAAATATATTTTCTGGCTTGAGATGGGACAGAAATTCACCTTTTGTACATACTTGCAACAGCTGTAGTTTGTGTAGTCATCCAGGCACAAAGCATGGTCAGGCACTTGAGGGTTTTCTGTTGTCTCTGTGACCTGCCAGTGCTGAGCTAGTGTTGAAGTACTCATGGATTCATGCAATTTCTATACATTGAGGTATGTTGTGCACCACAGTTCACAAAATTTGAGGTTCCATTTTTGTTCTTTGCTGGTAGAAAATGTAGAACAATTTCATGTTTCTTCTTGGTATACCAGTATCATTTAATGCTAGACTTTGGTACATTTCCTCAAAATTTGCCTGGTAGACTGGAGTGTTTAGGTGTAGTATGAAGCACTTCCAGCTTGTAAACCAAGGTATGCATGCACACCAGTTGCCTGTGAGGGTGGTGGAGAAGAAAGGAGGCATCAGGGGTGCATCATGAGCCCAAAGGCATGAAATCTAGTCCAAAATTGCCAAAGATGTCAAGCATGGCACACCTGTTGTGTTTAGGGAAGATAGATAAGATTGCACCTTATTTAGAATCATGGTCTTGTGTTTGGGTGGACCTAAAGGCACCTTCAGGTGCACATGTTGTTTGTCAATATGCCTGCCCGTAAGCCTCCTACCACACCGTCATATGGATTGCATGCAGTGGTATGAAGCACACTTGTGGTAAATGCTGATAAAGACTTTAGTGAGTTGATAGTTACTTCCTTCCTCCTGCCCCCATCCCCTGTTTTCATTTTTTTCTGGTTAAGCATTCACAGAAAGCCAATGGTAATAATGAGTATAGTGTTTGACTACACCTGAAAGGTTAAGTCTTCTTTTTCATTTTTTTTAGGATTCACTTCTTCCAAAACTGCAAACAGTGGTGCATCACTGTATTAGTAAATATGACCAACATTTGCACCACAATGGATGCACCACTTGCCAGCATTTATCTAACTGAACATGATTGTTTCACATTTTGTTTGGTTTATCTCCTCCCACTCACTGAGTAAGGCCAGCTATGAATGTATAATCTGAATCTCTATCCACTAAATTTTTGGGTTTAGTTTATTTCTACAATTTCTGTGAAGAAGTCCAAAGAATATTATTGCAGCTCAACCTGCTGTTTAAGTGTGCTAGAACACCACATCCTTCACCACTTCATCATGACTTCCACCGAAGCGAAAACCAAGGTAGCAAATGTGATTGTTACGTGGTGTTTCTAGCAATGCACTGTAATGTTTACATATTGAGAGCATACCGGGGTGGTGTCACTGGGGATGGGGAACATGTCCCACTCTATTTCCAGATAGCAGGGGACAGTCCCCTTGGCCACCATCCTAACAATCTTTTGATAGTGGAAATATATTTGTGTATGTAGTTTCACTAAGGACTCCCTGTTCTCAATTTTTATCATGATGAAGCTCCACATGTCAGTTGAATTACATTGCTACAAGTGCTACTGTTATGCCACTGGTAATGCCAAGAAATCCTAAAATGCTAAGAAAATGGATCAGCACTATTACATGTTGCTCAACGTTGATGTGTTTTGTTGTTAAACCCCCTCACAGTTATGTAGCACAAACTTCAAAACATGTGAGGAACAGTATGGCAAAATATAAACTGAATGCTGCAAACATATGTATGGGACATGGGGAATTTCCATGTGGGATTGAGTATGCTGTGAGGTATTTTGGATCATTTTCCATGCCCTGCAATACACCTAATGTTCATTTTATGATGTGTTGTGGCTGGAACCGTGACCTCCTGCGCCCGTGACAGGATGCACACCAGCGCAAAGTCATGCACACTTTTCTGAGTGCAAATTGAAAAATTTCACATTTTTGGTGGGCAGCAAAGAATTTGTCACAAAAAATGAGGAGTATGTTGATACTGTTTTTCTCAAATTATCATTAGTCAAAGTTGAATCGCATTCACCTTTACCTACACATAGTGAAATAGGAGCAGAATGGTATCACATGGTGAAAACATAACATTTTGTTGCAAGTTTTTATAGAATATGCCTTAAGACTTTATTTCTGAAATCAACTTCAGCCAACCTGGATATTTTAATACTGTTCACCACTTTGCTGTGGCCAGATCATGGTCAGCCAAGTATTGAATCTTTTCTAATTACTGAACTGACTGCTGCATGGTTCAATGCTCATCAGTTCATAGCCACTCTCCTCACATGCTGACGAACATAGCTCTGTATCGGAGATGGAACCTTGTCCCTCTTCTGTTTTTCTTAAGATTTGGTTTGATTGACAAGCGACGTGGGATCCTTTTGCATGAATGGAATTCTGGGACCAGAGCCCATGCCAAGCAGTGCTTGTCGCGTTAGCCCAGGCCCCTACCACCCGATCGTCAAGTTTCAGATGCGCATCAGAATGGTGGGGTAAAAGTGTACTGGGCCGCAATGTTCGGCACGGTCCGTCCTGCCCTCTGACGTCATGTGACCTTTAGCGCGGCTGCTGCCACCGGCCGTAGGCCATCACAGTCAAGGGCAAATAGTGAGCGCCTAAAGCGACTCGAAGCCACCCTGCCACGGGTGGGTGGAAGGCAGGCGCTTGAACCATCCGTGCTATCGGGACATCGTTTGACTATGATAACGACTGTGACTGTGACTGTGACTGTGCGGCTATCGAGACTGTGACCTCATGCGCGCTGTTCCGTCCTCGGCGCGTTAGCGCCAGACGTATACGCGCAGTGCCCCCCCCCCCCCCCCCCCCCGCTAACCGGAGCCGTGTCCCGCCTCAGGCGATGGCGACGCTCAAGTACGCGGTGGGCCTGAGCGCGGCCGACCCGGACTGCCAGCCGGTGCTGGTGCTGGGCCAGATCCGGCACCTGGCCAGGCTCGCCTGGGACGACGTCAAGGTCAAGCTGGCCCCCCGGGTCACCGAGGAGGTACGCCGCGCGGCCGGACACGCGCCGGGCCCCGCCTGGCGGAGTGCGCCGCCCGCGAACGACGACGCGACCGGGGCGCGTTCACAGCTCGCTGCTGGGGTTGCCTGTCGGACGCGGTTTGTGAACTGTTGCAAAAGAATGCGCCCGCGGCCGTACTTCGGCCTACTTGTTGCACTCCTCTGTGGTGGTGGGATCCAAGCAAGGCCCATCAATCGGGTCGGGCGTCATTGCGACGCCAGTCTTCGTTGTGGCCTGTCCCAGCCGGAGACTGACCCACAGTAGGGATGCGTTCATATTGTCCAAGGTACAGAATGTCCAAAGTACAAAATGTTGCAGGCGCGGCCGTCTGCGCATGCGCGCACCCCGTAACGTGTGCGGCCCTCTCAAGCCGCCGGACCGGGGCCGGGTGGGGCGGTGACGGGTGCGCCGCGTCGCCGCCAGGTGTGGCAGCGCGCCGTCTCGGAGCTGTTCCCGTCGCCGACCGACTCGATCCACCTCTACCTGAACCTGGCCACGCTGGCGGCGCTGCCGGGCAAGTGTGCGCGCCACAACACGCCGTCGCGCGCGCACAGCGTCACCCGGCTGGTGCGCTCCCTGGTGGCCGGCTCCGACCTCACCATAGTGGTGAGTGGCAGCGGCCAAACAGCAAGCAAACCCGACGCTTGAAAACGTCCAATTACACTGATCAGGGTTCGTGGTCGGGCGTCACTGTTATGCTGTATGACCGGTGAGGCCGGCTGGAAAAGGAGTGTCGCTTGCACTCATTGAGCACAGAAAAGTGTTTTATCATCGAGAATGGTGCCCTCCCTTCTTTTCAGGGTGAGAGGCAGGCGGCGCGTTATAGGCTCAGCAGCTGAGTGCGTCGTAAAATCCCAATAACAACAGCATATCGTTGAGGGATGCACTCGGTAGGTATGTCGGCAAGCCGTTCAGTGGCAGATCGGTGTTGACCAGGCGTCAGCGGCGTGCAGCCCTGTCCTGCCGCACCAGCACCCTGGTCGCGCTGGCGTCTGCAGCTGCTGGGCGGTGCCGTGTGCCTCCTGCGCTGACTCTGCCCCTGGTCCTGGCGTCTGCAGCTGGTGTGTGAGCGCGCCGACATGCTGGCCTCGGCGTGCGCGGTGGCGCGCGCCTTCCCGCTCTACTCGCGCAAGTCGGGCCCGCAGCCGGAGCCGACCATCACCGTCGAGTTCATCATCGCTGACGGCGAGCAGGCGACCGCCGAAGAGGTAAGCTGACCGGCGCAGGGCTGGCGGACCGGCCGGACAGACCGCTGGTCCGGCCGGACAGGTCGCCGGCCGGACAGACCGCCAGCCGGGCAGGCCGCCGGCCGGGCAAGTCGCCGGCCGGACAGGTCGCCGGCCGGACAGGCCGCCAGCCGGATAGGCCGCCGGCCGGATAGGTCGCCGCCCTTGCAGCTGACTCCTGAGACGGACGGAGGGGATGGCCAGTCGATGAGCGGGTGTAGGGGCTTCAAGTGGACCATTGGGATGGACGTTCGCGGCGTATTTCAGCTTCGGTGATCAGTCGATGGGTGACCCGGTCCTTTGCAGGGTACTTGATGTGATGGAATGTGGATATGGTACGAAACGACTGTTTTCACAGATGGTGCTCCAACGCAGCTGTGGCTGATGCGCCTGAAACTTGCTATTCACATCTGGGCTGCCACGAATGTGCGGTGGCATTGCGACGTGCCCCCCTTACGCTCGTAGCCGTGATGGAATTCACAGTTCGGTTGTGGTGAAAGGGCGGATGCGCGAAAGCACTGGGGTTTCGCAAAGACCCACCCCACCCCCTCAGGCTTGGACTGCGGCCACCTTGTCCTGTACATGGGGCAGAGCTGCTAGCCTTAGATCGGATAATGTCCCGAACTCTGCATCAGATCAGGGCATAGAGCACGTGACTGAAACACTATGTCACTGTTGATAACATTGGCAATGCAAGGTGTTGGCTTGTGACGCGTTTTCGCGTATACTGCAGGACCTAAGCCGTCGTACCGGAATTCCTCCTGTCCCCGGTGTCTGGTGTGCCGCAGTGTGCAGCCAGGCGCCCCTGTCACCCCGCGCCTGGTCTCATTCGCAGGTGCAGCTGCTGCAGGACGCGGCCCGCGGCATCCGTCTGACCGCCCGCATCGTCGACACGCCCTGTAACGAGATGCACACGGACGCCTTCGTGGAGGTTCGTGACCTGTGGGGGACGGAAGGCAGGGACTGACGAGGTCGTCGCCGCACGTGGAGAGCGGTGGCGCGAGAGGGGCGCAGAAGAGCGTCCGTGACGGGTCAATTGATGGCTCCTGGGAGGAGAGCAGTGGTGCCCGCCTTCCGTTATGTTGCGTGTTGCTGTAGCAGGCGTGTTTCAGCGCGCTGCTGGCATATGTACAACGGCTGCGAAGTTCTGCACGTCATGCATCAGACCGTTACAATGCTCGGGCGTGGGCCTCGGATTCGACCAGCCTCGGTCTCCGGCGACCGGCGGCCGAGGCTGGCCCTGACCCTGACCCTGATCCTGACCCTGATCCTGACACTGGTCCGGGCCCTGTTCCTGACACTGATCCTGACCTTGATGCCCTGACCCTGACCGTTACCCTGACGCCCAGGTCTTGACCCTGACCCTGACCCTGACCCTGGCCTGGCCCTGACACTGATCCTGACCCAGACCCTGGCCCTGACACTGATCCTGATCCTGATCCCGATCCTGATCCTGATCCTGACCCTGGTCCTGACGCTGGTCCTGACCCTGGCCCTGTCCCTGGCCATGACCCTGGCCCTGGTCTCGACCCTGGTCCTGACCATGGTCTTGACCCTGGTCTTGATCATGATCCTGGCCCTGGCCCTGGCCCTGACCATGGCCATGACTCTGATCCTGACCCTGTTCTTGACCTTGACCGTCCGCAGGAGGTGAGGCAGGTGGGCGAAGAGCTGGGTACGCCGCTCACGCTCATCAGAGGCGAGGAGCTCAAGGCCAGGGGTTTCGGCGGCATCTACGGCGTCGGTGAGCACTGGCCGTGCGCTGCAGTGGTGGCGGGTCCCTTGCGGCAGACACGGTGACGAGGGGCTCACTGCTAGGGCGAGAGGGACAGGGGCTCCTCTTGCGGCGTGCGTGAGACATGGGACGGGGGTGTGTGGTGGTGGGGAGTTGGCCCGCGTCCATGCTACTCTCGAAAACACGGCGCCATGGAAGTATGTTCATTAGGTACGCGTGCTGGGCCATTAAAGACATCTGTCCTACGTTACACAGCCCGTTCCCCATCTCAGGAGTGATGTGGTCATTAGCGACTCGGCACGTTAAAAGATTCGCCAGTGTGTTGTGAGCTGGTGCAAGCAGCAAATGAAAAACATTGACTGACTGACTTACTAACATGACTGACAGCAGCAAAAAAGCGGATCACTTGTTGCCAGCATGCCTGCTATGTGTGACGGGGGTCCTTTAGTCTCCGCCATGGCCGTCGTTGTATGTTTTCATGGTATTCAATGACTGTGACGTCCCCCGAACAGTTCGCGACAGTCTCTAACAGAGGTCGGACCGCGTCCGTCGGCGACAGTACCACAGCATTGTCACGAGCGCTCGTGACTGCGCCGTCGCCTGCCGTGGTCGTGCGTGACGGTGGCGACACGACGCCGCGTGACAGGTGCTGACCTTGGCCCGCCCCCTGCCCCCGTGTGTGTCAGGCAAGGCGGCGGTGCATCCGCCGGCGCTGGCCGTGCTCAGCCACACCCCGGCCGGGGCCACACACGGCATCGCCTGGGTCGGCAAGGGCATCGTCTACGACACGGGCGGACTCTCCATGAAGACCAAGGTCGGCTGCGGGCGCCGCCTGCCGCGGCACCTGTGCTACCTGTCCGGCAGCTGGCTCCGGCCGAGACTGTGCGCTGCAGATGTGCTCGGCTCACGCCCGTTTGCGTGGGTCGCTGCCGCTGCGCAGGACATGAGCAGCTTCGTGAATGAATTGTTTAAATCCAGGGGCAGCAGAGTAGCGCCGCCGCTGTGAACATGGCGACTCTCGCCATCACGCACGCCACGCGCAGCACGCGTATGTGTGCGCCACGTGCACGCGCGTGTGCGCGCAAAGCAGTCTGAAAAGTAGTGTTTGTCAGAAAATAGGAACCGGCATCAGGGGATGACGTGAACTATGTACCTGGCTGGTGTACCTCTGCACCACGTGTGGCGCTGGCGCGTTTCCGTGTCCGGTCTCGACACCACCATGCCGCGCGTGCCTCCACGTGTGCCGGCCCGCAGACCACCATGCCGGGCATGAAGCGCGACCTGGGCGGCGCGGCGGCGATCCTGGGCGCCTTCCTGGTGGCCGTCAAGTCGGGCTTCACGCAGAACCTGCACGCCGTGTTCTGCGTGGCCGAGAACGCCGTCGGGCCGACTGCCACGCGGCCGGACGACATCCACACGCTCTACTCGGGCAGGTCGGTCCCGCGCGCGCGGGCCGCGGCGGGCGGCCGCCGGTCGTGCCGCGTCCGGCGGGCTGCGCTCCTAGGTCAGGTGCGCCAGGTGCACGCACGCTCGACCTGCCGAGCTGTGCACGCTGGCAGCGATGGTGCAGTCATCGACGGCTGGCGAGTCGGGACTGCGCTATCATCCAGTGGCTGGCCTTTTGGCCGCCGCCCCGGACTGAGGCCGTGCGAGTTTGCAGTCCCTGTTGCGGGGCGTGTGCTGCTGTCGCCCTGGGCGCGAACCACGGGCTGTGTAACCCCTGACGCCAATCGTCTTGCGTTCCAGAACGGTGGAGATCAACAACACGGACGCCGAGGGTCGGCTAGTGCTAGGTGAGCTCCGTCGGCGCGTCGTTGGTGCTGTCCTCCTGCCGTGCTGGTCGACCGCCAGCAGCACAGTGGACCTCACGAAAGCCCCCATGGCAACGTCGCTAACGGCTGCTCGCCTTGCTCCGCCCGCCGCGTTGTGTGTGGTTCGCCGCTTGGTTGTTGAACGATGAGAGGGTCCCTGCCCTGGCCTGACCACTCGTCCGTCGCGTTGCCGTCCAGAGCCGAGCGGCACCGCGCGGCGCCGCGCGTGGTCGGCCGTATGCGTGGTCGGGCGCCGTTGGCGCCGCCTGGCGAGAGCGCCGTCCGGCGCCGCCCCGCTGCCGGCGTCGGGTGCTCGGCGCCGCCGCGCTCCGGCGGCTCCGGAGGCGGTGCGCACGCTGTCCGTGACGTGGCGCCGCCCTCCTCTTCAGCCGACGGCGTGGCGTACGCCAACAAGGACCTCAAGTGTACAACCATCCTGGACATGGCCACGCTGACGGGGGCGCAGGTGAGCGCGCCGCCGCCCGCGGGGGCCGGGGGCGGCCGCGGTGCTGGCGGCCACCGGTCGGGGCGCAGGTGAGCGCGCCGCCGCCCGCGGGGGCCGGGGGCGGCCGCGGTGCTGGCGGCCACCGGTCGGCGCGCAGGAGCGCTTGGCGCGAGCGAGGCGGGCGTCTCGTTTTGTGCGGGTGGGATTGGCAGAGCACCTTTTCTGACGTTGTCGCTGTTGGATGTGGCAGTTAGAGCGAATCGCGCCGTTCTGTCGAACGTGTTGAGCTCCATCAGTGCCTCTGTTTGTCGTCCCCAACGCTGCTTTGCCCGTACCGAGACTTCAAAAACTGGGCTCGTTTGATGGCATTGTTGCACCTGAGCGTCCCCACGACTGCACACCAAGAGCTCCCGTCCTGTTATAGCCGGGCACGCTGCCAGTCGTCTAGCTGGCGACGGTGACGCGACCCTGACCTGACCTGATTGCCGCAGGGCACGGCGACGGGCAAGTACCACGGCGCGCTGCTGACCAACCAGGAGTGCTGGGAGGTGCTGGGCGCGGCGGCCGGCCGCGCCACCGGGGACCTCCTGTTCCCCGTGCCCTACACGCCCGAGCTGCACTTCAGCGAGTTCGCCTCCAGCGTGGCCGACATGAAGAACTCGGCCGCGGTGAGTTCCGACGCGACGGCGCGGAGGGCCGGTTGTGCCCGGCTCAGGACGGGGCCGCCAGACGGTCTCTGTAGCTCCGCGTCTTGTTCTGCGCCCTGACCTGACCTGACCTGACCTGATGGCGGCGGTGCTCTGTTTGCTGCTGGCAAGCTTGGGTGGCGCTTTGTGCGAGAGGCTGACGCGCCGTTTCAGCTGGTGGTTGCATTAATTGTGATTTTTTATAGTTAAGTGTGAAGTGGACTGCACAGCTTCCCTGCTTCCTGTCTGTCCTAAGCGTCATACATGATATCGTAAAGATGCCAAATTGCGTGTGAGATGAAGGCACTGCTGTTGAACGAAAATTGCACAGCTTTAAGATTCAAGCACTCATCAACATCACATTGATACCGCGGGGTACGGTGCCAGCCATTGGCACGAGCACACCTGCCCGGGGGCGGGATTCCCCGAGCGGTCGGTGGTGTGGCGGCTGTGGCCAGCACTATTGCCGTCGCTGCCGGCGGCTCGCTCGCGCGACTGTCCGCACATCCAACGTCGTCTCCGTTCCAGGACCGCAGCAACGCGCTGGTCTCGTGCGCCGGCCTCTTCATCGGCGCTAACCTGGGCTTCGACTTCCCGGGCTCCTGGATCCATGTGGACATGGCGTCGCCCGTGCATTCGGTACGCCCCCGGGACGGGAAGTGGCGCTCGATCACTGCCGGAGGGCGGCGGCCAGCTCGGCTGCCGCTGCTCCGGTGGAGCCGGGCGGTCTGGCGCGGCGGCCTGTCCCGCGGCCGGTGGACAGACCCGCGAATGGCCTGTGATGAGGCCCGCGAGGACCGGGTCTGCTGGGACCGGGTGCTGCGCGACTGGTCATGTGGCTGACACGCATGGCGGTGACATGAACTCCACTGGCTTGCCTGGTGTTCTCGTACCACTGTATTGATTGAGCCTTGCTGAGACGTTGGAGGCCAGGTGGCTGATGGCGGGCAATGTCCGCCACAGCTTCTTCCGACTCTTGCCACCAATCCAGCAGCTATCCAGATTCCTCGTTATTTCACTACAAGCTGTTGCCACCTGTCGTTAAGCTGAGAGCCACTCCCGCCGGCCGCGAGGTGACCCGTCTGAGCCCTGCTGTGACCCCTGGCTGACGGAGCGCGCGCCGCGCCGGCAGGGCGACCGCGCCACCGGCTACGGCGTGGCCCTGCTCTGCGTGCTGTTCGGCTCCCACTCGACCCACCGGCTGCTGCAGCAGCTGGCACCGCCGGCGCCGGCCGCCGCCGCCGCCGTCGCCGCCGCCGCCGACCTATCCGACGGCACCACCAACTCCAGCAAGAAGATGCGGCTGGAGCAGCGGCGGCCGTGAGGCCGACGCGCCGCGCCCCGCCCGCGCCGCTGCCGCCGGAGCCCGTCCCCGTCCCCGTCCGCCGTCCCCTGCCCTCTCGCCGCTGGTGCCGCAGCGTCGGCCGCCGATCAAAGCGCCGCGTCGCCCGTCCCGCAGTCGGTCTGAGTGAGACCGCGCCGTCCGCGCGGTGCGTCGATAACCCCTCCGGATAGAGCAGCGGCGCGCGCCGTGGAGGGGCGCGCGCCCTCTGTTGCCCGCCGTCACGCCTCTGTTGTACCTCAGTTCCACGTCCGCTCACCGTCGTACAAGCGCAGTTTATGATTAGGTGCCTAATTGCCCGCGCGCCGCCCGGGCGCCATTAACCGATCGGCCCGCGTGTGCCGCTGATTCGGCATCGCACGGCTGGTTCCTGCAGATATCTCCGAAGTTACTCTGTTGACGCGTCGCCTCGCAGCCCGACTGACTTCACGCCGAGACGCGTCAGTGTTTTTGTGGCTCGGATCAATGGGAGTGTGTGTCGGCCGCGCCTGGCGCTCGCGCGCCAGGCAAGGCTATGCTGTCGTACAACGTACCGACTCAGGCGGGTAATATGGAAAAACACCGAGTTAACCAGCCGCCTGTTTTGCTACCGGGGAATCGTCCGTGGCCACCGAGCACGCATCCATGATCTTAAATCGGAACTGTAACGTAATGATTTAACGTAACGTAGCGGGACCGTAATGATACGAGCTCAAAGCAGATCTCAGGAGCTGAGGAGAGGTTGGACCGTTTTCTGCATGCTTCTCGCGTCTGGGAGCTGCAGCCCCGTGTGACGGGCTGTGCGTGGCGCCGTTGGGAGAACACCCAGGACCAGACATGTATTTCTGGGAGCGTCAGAGGGACCGCACGAGCGCGCGCTAAGCCGGACCCGGCGGCCTCCCCGGAGCCGGGCGCGGCGGCCGCCCCGGAGCCGAACGCGGCGGCCCGGAGCCGGCGGCGGCCCGCAGCCGAGTCCAGGGACCGCTGCCAAACGCCAGCCGGGTCCGGGCAGACTGCGGCGTCCGACGCGTCAACGGATGGTGCTGCTCACTTCGGGCATTGGCAAGGGTTACACACGTCTTCCGGCCGGTCCGGCCAGCCGTACACTTTCCATTAGAATGACTGGGTGGCAACGTCTAAAGTGAAGAAGCATCCGTGCGTCATCGTTCACAGGTGCAGAGGGAACGCACTTGGTTAACTGAGGGGTGAACCATGCTTGGGTAAGCAGAAAAAGATGATATATTCTGTTAATTTTAGGTGAACAGGGCTACTGGCCTGGTCAGAAGATGACCAAATAGATAACCATGCAGTCATAATCGTGAAGACACCTGCGGCAGCTTCGTCAGCGTGGGCCGTTAGAGCAGCGTGCGGATATCGGCACGGGGGGAGGGGGTCAAGATGGGGTCGACACCGGCCCCGGCCATGGCCTCAGGGAGGTGGCGCTGCTGCTGCTGGAGGTCTGATGCCGTTCTCCAGAGGCCGGCGGCGCAACATTTGCAGTTGGAGCGTGGGGAGAGGTGTGCTGAAATGTTCCGGCACGATGCTGCCCTGGCGTGGTTCCGGTTCGGTTGGATAGCGGCCCCTCGTCAAAGTCAGGCGGGAGCAGGAGATTCAATTCAAGAATCAATTCAATAATTCAGTCGATTCAGGAGATAAGGCGCGGGAGTGCTGGTGCAGGGGCAAGGGAGGCGGGACAGGCCCAGGTCAGGCGGGCAGCAGCCCAGTTGCGGATACGTTCGGCAGCAGCGCACGTTCAGGTCGGGTGCGTGAGCAGTTCCAGTTCAGGGGATCAGGTGGAGGGCATCTCCAATGTAGCATATCAGATTGGGAGTAGGTGCTATGTGTATGGGGATCAATTCCGGTTTATTTGGGGAGCAAGGTCATCTCATTTAGGGGCCGCCGCTGGTTCGCTGGCGGGGGGGGGGGGGAGGCAGCTCCGGTTTTGTGCAGCAGCTCCGATTCATGTGAGGAGCGACTCCGGTCCCGGGGGTGGTCGGGCGGGGGCGGGTCACTCAGTAGGTCTCGTTCTCGTGGGTGAGCAGGTCCCGAGCCGACTCAGACTTCTTCGGGTTCTCGCCGCCGAAGCCGGGCGGCCGGCCCATGTTCTGAGTCCTGCGACGGAGCACGTGACGTCACACGGTGCGGGACGGGACGCGTGACGTCATACGGTGCGGGACGGGGTGCGTGACGTCATACGGTGCGGGCCGGCCTGCCGGCCTCGCAGACTACCACACATCGGACGGCAAGGCCTGAGGGAGTCACGGCCACGGGCCCCCACCGCCGGCGCAGTGACGGATAGCACAGCTCGAGTGAAGTGAACAGTGAGAACGTCCGCATTCGAGTGGCGTGAACGACCCGGGTCACTGCATCGCCAACTTGTTGGCGATGAGGGCCCGATGTTGACCGCATAGGCGGTCAACATCGGGCCCTCTTGCATTGGCGGTCGGTGTTGGTGCAGTTCTAGGGGAGGCAAGCATGGATTTGTTAGGCTGGTGTCCTTCCATGATCCCACGGAATTGCTCTGGTCGCTTGGTATTATTTTGATGGAAAAAACCCTGATCTTTTTCATTCGGTTGTTATAAGAGTGAAAACGATCCTATTTACGGGTTAGGTGCCAGTGTGGCCAGAAAAAGCAGAAGTGTGCCGGTGGCATGTACGACAGCATGTAGATACATACTTCGGCGTATTTCACCTTGTGTTAGCTAGCAGCCATGAAAGTAAGCACGAACTGATCTAGCGATGAGTGGATGTCTGAGCCGGACCACATCCCTTGACTCCGCTCGGTGGCCTGCGCGAGGAGCCCGCAACCCATTGAGATGATGCCCCGGGGTCGGCCCGGGAGTTACCTCTGCTTTGTGACGGGCTTGGCCTTCGATCTGCAGCAGCAGCACTTGGTGTCCTCGTCGCAGCACTGACCGTCCCACCTGGCGTACCACATGAGCAGGCCGAACAGCACGATCACGCCGATCACGCCGCACCACAGCTTCACCTGGCGACACAGACGGCGCCTTCACCCGGTGATACAGGCAGCGCCTTCACCTGGTGACACAGACGGCACGATCACGCCGATCACGCCGCACCACAGCTTCATCTGGTGATACAGGCAGCGCCTTCACCTGATGACACAGGCAGCACGATCACCCCGACCACGCCGCACCACAGCTTCACCTGGTGACCAACAGCGCGTTGGCATGGTGACACGGACAGCACGATTTCGCCGATAACGCTGCACCACGGCTTCACCTGGTGACACAAACAGCGCTTTCACCTGGTGACAGACAGCACGATTACGCCGATCACACCACGATCACGGTTTTGCCTGGTTTCGACACAAACAGCAACTGCACGCGGTGGCACAGACATCACCCTCGCCCACGTGCACAAACGAAAGTTTCAATGGGTGGCAAGGACTGAGGCGTCACATGACGATGCAGGCAGCCGCTTCATCTGGTTGCATAGACGGCTTCTTTAGCCAGCAATACGACACAAATTCACTGGGTAATCCAGATAGCATCGGGACCATCTTCACAGCAGCACGAGGGCGACCGACCTGCCGCATGATCTCCTCCTCCTGTTCCATTTCGCCGCAGCAGGAGGGCTTGGCATCCTCCGTGCAGCACTTCTTGTCATCTTTGCACGTGTACAGGTTGTTGGGATCCTCCCAGTCGATGGTGTCGTCCACGCGACACTGCAGACCGGCCGCTGCAGGCGGGCGTTCGGGTCAGGCCGGCATCATGGGGAGCGAGAGCGTCAGTGTGCGGCGGACGCCGCCCGCCAGCTCCGCAATCTATACAGTGGACTGGCTGATGGACTGGGCCACATGGGCGTTCTGTGACGTAATGATCCATGCGTTAGGGCGACGGTGGATTGGGGGTGGCGGTGGCCGGGTTGTACTGGCCTTCGTTAGTCCGGTCGTTATATGACCGTGAATGTCACCTCGGGTTATTGGGCGTGTCGTCTTTCTTGTAAACCACGCGCCTACCATGCACCGAGTAGCGCGAGAACTCGAAGGCGTGTAGACGCCCCTCCCCCCCCCCCCCCCATCCATTCCGCTTCGCATTTTCCAACGGTGAGCGTAACATTGCGCGCCATCGGGAGGTACTTTTCGATGGAGCGCCAACCGCTCCGCCGACGACCAGGAGTCTGGCGTGATGAGAGTCTGGGAGTAGAATTACGCGGACCGTATCAATGAGTGGCGCATGTACGCCGCTCTTCATGTTTTTGTCCGTTGGGTGGCAGTTTGTTGGCAAACAACGCACAGCGGGGCAGCAATATCGGAGCTGATGCTGTCGTCTGTCGGTAGAGGGCGGCCCATTCTGGCAGAAGGGGAGGGTTTGAGCAGACACCACCGCTGAGAAGGACGGCTCGCGGCGGCGGCCGGCGAGGACGACTTACCGAGGTGACAGAGCAGCGTCAGGAGTACGGCCACGGGGACGCGCTCCATGGCTGGCGGCGGGACGGCGGACGCGCGTATGGCGGCAGGGGACCTCCGACACCGGTGTTACGGAGTGTCATGGCGACGATGGCCGGACACCGGCGGCCCGCACGTAACCAGCCGGGCACAATCAATGTCGACATGGTGACCGGCCGACACGGTCGGACCGCCACTGCGCCGTTCAGCTCGCGCCGGCTGATGCCGACACGCGGCACGACTTAGCACGCGGGCCCGTGCCGGCCGCCAATTCAAGCAGCCGAAGCATGAGTCCAGGGACCGTCGCCGCGCGACGCGGTAAAGGCACGCGAAAAGGTCGTGCCCGGCGTTCCGCCGTGCACAGTTCACAAACTTGAGCATGTTTCATCTGAGGCCGCTTGGAACCGTAGGGTCGATGGAGAGGGCGACAAGACCAAATCAACAGCAGAGCATGATGGAGAACTTGGACGTGCCGGAAATGTGGCGTTTCCAGGGCTGGTGACGTATTTCGCCTAATTTGCCTGACGACGCTCTTTTGTGGCGTTTGGCGTTACTTTTGTTTTGGTGAGCGGGAAATACCAATGCAGGCGGCACAGGCTGTGTGGACTGTATCACACAAGTTACGCATGGTCGCCAGAGCGTAAAACATGCGGCATGCGCACATCACTTACGATTTGAGAACTGCGTGAGTGGTGTGTGACCTCTTGCAATACCCGAACTCACGTCTGACTCCAGGGCGCAAGGCAATACTCGAACTCACGTCTGACTTCGGGGCGCGGGGCAATACCCGAGCTCACGTCTGACTCCAGGGCGCGGGGCAATACCCGAGCTCACGTCTGACTTCAGAGCGCGGGGCAATACCTGAACTCACGTCTGACTCCAGGGTGCGGGGCAATACCCGAACTCACGTCTGACTTCGGGGCGCGGGGCAATACCCGAACTCACGTCTGACTTCAGGGCGCGGGGCAATACCTGAACTCACGTCTGACTCCAGGGTGCGGGGCAATACCCGAACTCACGTCTGACTTCGGGGCGCGGGGCAATACCCGAACTCACGTCTGACTTCAGGGGGTGGGGCAATCGGCATTGGTGCGCGGAGGCGGTTGATGGTGACGCAACCCGCTCGTCCGCACGCGAGCCTGCACCGATCCCTGTGTCTGCGTCACACACAAGCCCCCGGAGC